AACACAAACGCACGCATCATATTATAATTATGAGATTTAATTTTTTTTTGCTTTTATATGAGATTTTAAAATAATTATTTTACTTAATTATATAAATTTTATGTTTTATAATTTTTTTAGTTTAATTTTTTGTCTAATACTTTAAATGATAATATTATTATTATATTAATTTTATTAAATTTAAATAATACTTATTATTTATTACTTCATCCCCGTTCAAGCTCCAACCTTGAACCTCTACTTGTTCGTTGTCGGGTCCTATTTTTAGAACCTTAAATCTGTAATACCAAACACGTCGGGACATTTCTCCGGACTCCGGTCAGAATAATTTCTCCTTAAAAGCGGCCGATTTGTTCACGCCGAGGGCGCCAAGCAACGCCGCGCTGGTGGGTCTAGGAAGGTTGCAGCAAGCTTGAAGGTATAATCAGGAGCCAAGGGGGTATTTACCTATCTGCTCTCTCTTTTTCTTTTTATGAATTCCTTTTCATTTCAAGATGAAGCTCCATGTGCCTTTTTTGGTTAAAAATGAACTTTTGGATTGTTAGGTTTTTCAGATTCTTTATTTGAGGACGATGGAAGTGAGAGGGGTCTCAGGTGTTGCTTCCCATGGATTTGGAGTTCCGCCATGCAGTAAGTCCAATTTAGTTTTTTTCTTCCACTGATTGCATTGAACCTTGGTAATATGTTTTGAAATTTAGATATCTGCTCTTCATTCTCGATTCTATTTTTCTTTATTTGAAATGCAAGCTGTAGGCTCTTAAAACCTTGATTTTGTTTCAGTCCTAGATTCAATTAGAAAGACTGATGCTGGTAATTTTTTTTTTTTTTACCGTTGATATTTTCTCCAGGTTTATGATTATAATATTTGGACTTCTTATTTTGGTTTTTGTAACGTTTCTACAGGTTCAATGCTCTGTAGGTTCTGTCTCTACTTTATTTCATGCTTTTTTTTTTTTTTTTTTTTTTTTTTTTTTTTGTTTTTTTTTTTTTTTTGGTATGGTCTTAGGCATTAAAGATGAGATTATGGAGAAATAGGCAGGAGCAGCATGTTGTCAAATTCTGGGTGGAATCGACTTAAATTTCTAAGAACTAATGTTATGTGTCATGGACAATGGAAACTAGCCTACCATTTCCATGACACAGAGATTGATGAAGAACTGGCACCGCAGGAATGGTATAGACTTGCCTATGCAAAACTTGTCAAGCTAAGCTACTTACTGAAGAATGTTGAGCACATTGATGGAAAGCTAATCAGTGTTGATGACAACTCCATTATCAATGATGTCTATATCATTAACCAAATGAAAAGTTTTAATTCACTTGCAAGAACACTTATAAGTGCGCCCTCTGTGCAATGTGCTCTGAAGAAATCTTTAACAAGTGCACAGCCTCAAGTTTTTAGTTGCTTCAGCAGCCTGAACGGAAGACAACCCATGACACTGGATTCTCTCACTAAAATTTGCAATTTCCTCGGCATTTCAGCTCAGCAGAGGAAGAGCATTCGCCTAACAGTCTGCCCACAGGTCACACAACATCACATTTGGAGAGGAGCACTAGAAGAGATCCTTAACGACTTGAAGCGCGAGTTAGACAACATTGGTTTCAATTCTCCAGCATTTCAGATGGCAAGACAAGTTATGATGAGCTGCTTAAAATTCTTGAAGGACACCGCCAGCCTTCATGAATCTGAGGCTCCGGCATGGATGCGATTGGCACCTTTGAAAAAGGTTGAGAAGTTAGAAACTTTACTTAAATGGGAAGAAGTTCTTGAAATGTTTGTGCACCTATCTCAATGTATGAGCCAGGAGGAGAGATTGCTGTGTAGCATTGCAAAGATTGATGTGATGAAAGAAGGGCTGTATCATATCAAGGATATAGTGATTGAGAGAGACATCAGTTTCAAGGAGGCAAGAAGACAGGATTCACTTGTTCAAAAGAAGCTTACTAAGAGTTTGGGCCATTCTTCTAAGTGTCTATTTACATTATTGCTTTATTATTTGTATGGGACAGTTAGAGATATAGAGGTGGAAGTTTGTGGAGGGGTTTGTGGTGGTGGAGGAAAGTTGTATTTGCAAATCGGAAAGTTCTTAACTTCTGATGATGAGAAGATGGTGAGAAATGGGGTCAAGCAACTTTACAGAGCTCTTGGGGTGTTCAAATTTGTGTGGGAGACAGCATCTATGGATGGAACAGTGAACTTGCAGGGCCATATATGGAGTGTGGGAGCTAATGAAAGGACTCTCACCTATAGGGGGAATAAGTTTTTTGTCCATAATATTATATTATGATGCAAAGAAAAGAAACGAGTTATAGGCTTATGATTAAATTTTACTGAGTAGATATTCAGTAAAGTTATGATTCCTTTACCTTCTTTCTGAGTTAAGGTAGGTGATTATTATGACCTTATTTGGTTAAAACATAGAACAAATGCAATGATGCTTGTTTTATCTATGAAGGGATGTTGAAAATAAATCATCTGATGTTGGAGTGTGAAAGAGTGAGCTAAGTGAGGATGAATGAGGGATTTGATCAGTTGATGTAGCCAAAGCATAGTGATTTCATTTCCTTCAGGTTATATCAGGCTTTGGTTTGAGGAGCTGGCCTTTGTGACTATTCTTGGTGTTGGAGCTGTTTGATCATGGACTATCATTCCTGATTACATGAAAGTCAGGGCTACACCGAAATCATAATTGGATGTAGTTTTATTTTTTATTTTTTTAGCGCTGAAACAATATTGCAAATCCATAATGAATTAGCAATCAAGGTTGATATAATTTTTTGGTTGAGCATGGAGTGAAAGCATTAATCAATTTTCCCACAAACCCAAGATAAGCTCTCATTTTCTTTGTTTGCATTTTCTTCTAGTTTGATTGCAAACTTTGTACTTGTTTTCATATCTCGTTCGGAAGTAGTTTCAGATATGTCATTGGAGAAGCTGAAATTTCTCAAGAAAAAAAAATCCTATGGTTATTAAACTATAATTAAAATAGAAAATGAGCTTTAAATGACCCTATGTTAACAGATACCCAAAATGCTTTAAAGTATTGTCCTAAATGCTTTAATTATTGTCATAGTGGAAATATGGACAGGATGGGGAACACAGGAGATTATTGTGAGGACCTACTGCTGATGATGATGACTAAAGCTGGGGTAAGGTGCAAAACAATTTTACTGGATCTTCTTATCTAAGGCTAGATGATCTTTGATACTCACACCTTGTATTAGTCCTGTTTACCAAGTGGAAGGCTTTCAAGGTTTTCCTGGGGTGCCAATATGAGTCTTATGCAATTATACAAACTTACCATTTCTCGTTATATTGGAATTCATGAGTGTGTGGCTTATTCCTAGAGAATGCGCCAAAGGAATAATTAGGTGTTTCAGGGAATCTCATTGCTGCTAAAGCTTTTCTGGTCTCACATTTTGAACCTAGAGATTCTTCATGGATTTAGACATATCATTTAATGATCACAAAGTTTAGTGGATGAAGATAGTTTATGGTTGGATAGCTTGATTTACAAGATGTATGTTAGAAAAGACCCAGTCCGATTGTTGCTCCTTCCAGAGTTGAGAGTGGGTCTAACCATAGGGCTGGAGGCTGTTGAAGAAGAACAGGAAGCAGGGGACGAGAAGTTGCTGTAATTAGTTTTAGTTTGGCTATTAAACTAAGGCTTCGTTTGGGACGGCTTTCTTATTGCTTCTTAAAGCGGCTTTCTAGTACAAAAAATAAATTTTTTGTACTAGAAAGCCGCTTTAAGAAGCAGGAAGAAAGCTGTCCCAAACAGAACCTAAATCAACAACTAATCAAAGCCCCCACCTTTATTTTTTGTACTAGAAAGACGCTTTAAGAAGCAGGAAGAAAGCTGTCCCAAACAAAACCTAAATCAACAACTAATCAAAGCCCCCGCTTTTTTTTGATGTATTTTAATTGGAAGGTATCTTTCAGAAAGTTTAAATTAGTTTCATACTTTATTTTAAAAATACCCATTTATTTGTTTTCAGTTTTTTCCATGTTTGCATTTTGTATTTATTTCATTGTGCCTGGATATGCAGCATTTGACCTTTATGGCCTAGCACATTTGTTTTGTCTTGTGCTTAATTGTATTGTTTAATGCCTGGTTTCGCTGAGATGTCTTTGAAATATTTCCTCTTTTTTTTTTTAATCAAGGTAGTTTTATTCGCAGAAACAGCTATTTTAAATCTTTTAGATTGAGAATCTCTTTTTCTTCTCAAATTCTTCAAGGGAAATCACACATGGAAATTGATAAAAGCTGAAATGGAATCTTCCACATTGCTACATTTTGCTTTGAATCTCATGCAAATTATAGACCAATTTTTCCTGTGGTGGTTAGAACTTGAAGAATTGTATATATAATGGAATTAGGACAATATTAGGACATAGCCATTATCTATCCTTTTCAGTGTTACCACATATTACATCCTCAATAGTTTAAGTTCGTCATACTGGAGTTGCTATGCTTAATATTTTGTTTTATAATTTATATTTATCTCTATGCAATTGAATGTGGAACTTTTTTAATGCAAGACATAAGAGTTATGTCGGCACATACATAGCCGTCCGTGTTGTTTGATAGATTTTCATATTTTGTTAGAAAAAATATATTTGGACAACTCCTATCTGTATTGTGACTGCATTCTCTTGTTTCCAGGTAGTACAACAAGGGCCTCCAAAATCAAGTCTTTTAAGTTTCATTCGAGTTTTAAGAATGTCCCACATATGAGGCTAGTGATGTCACATAAAGTCAACTGTTACGAGGCAAATCCTATGTTTTGGGGTAGAGAATTTCAATCAAGGCATAAGCATTTGAATGGTGTAGCTCCTTACAAGTGGCCTTGCAAACACACAAGTTCATTGTTTGTCTGTTCTGTCTCAAATTATGGAGGTATGTTATTTTTTGCCTATTCACAAGATTTCAAGGTGTTTTTGAAATACACAATTTGCACTGAAGAACTAGCAATATTCTGTGCAGTTCTGAGTGATGCTCATGTTGTACATCTTTTTCTATAATTAGATAGCATTTCAGTCTCGTTAATAGGATTTCCATTAATTGTGAAAAGATTAACCTTGCTTCTTCTCCTTCAAGGTCGAAACTTGAAACTTCGTAGGTATTCCTCTCTCTCTCTCTCTCTCTCTCTCCATATATAAATATATAAATATATATATATTGATGTGAAACTACTAGGAGTTACGTTCAAAATTAAAAAGAGAGTTGTAAAGTTTGCTTTTATAATTTTATGGGATCATGCAAGATAGAGTTAAGATTTAGAAACGTTACTTTGCTTAGGCAAAAAGAGTTGCAAACAAGATTAACCAAAACGAATCTTTCAAAGTTCTAGGCGAATTTCATATGCAAAGTACAATAACAAAACCCAACGTTTAACAACAAGAATTTCACCTTGGGGCCATGTCACTCAAAGATTGGTGGACTTTTGGCGGAGATAGAAGATCCAAGCGATGACGGAAGTTACCACTAGGGAAAGGGCGCCAAGGAACCTCGTCGGAGGAAAAGTAGCCGGCGGGGATGGAAGACGTAGGTGACCGTCAAGGCTCCACGTGTGCTTTGAAAATTGTCGGTCGTAGATGCTCGCAAGGATCGGAACGACTCTCTCCAAATACTCTTCCACGGTTGTCTCGTCTTCAAATCCTACGTCGAAACAAGGTGAACGTAGAATGTTGATGCTCCCGTCGGCGTTGAACACAAGACCCCACTCAAGCTCCGGATCCTCCATTCAACATTGAAGTGGATGTTGAAGAGGATCGTCGTCTTCTCTTGAGGGGAAGTAGGGGCTGGTTTTGATGATTTGGGAGGAAGGCTTTTGATCCAAATAGGATGTTGAATTTGGATCGAGGTGATGCTATGGATGCCGTCGGGTAGGGTGAGGGAGGATGTGGAGATGAGGAAACAAATAAAATAAAAGAAGAAAACCACGAGTCGAGGACTCTTCCAATGACTGGTGGGCCTTGCGATTTGCTCCCCTTGAGCTCTCACCCTTCTCTAGCTTTCATGCAAGAAGAAGAAGAAGATAAAACACAATTTCATTCAAATATTCATTAAACTCAAAATGATACAAGAGACCACTATATATAGGTCTTGACTCATAAAAGTGAAAAAAGACTAAATTGCCCTCTGGGCTACAAAGAAACATAACTCCCCACAGGGGTAAAATGGGAAAACAGTAAATCAAATAAGACAATAATAAAGTACATCATATCATCTCAATCAAAAGTAGAGGCGCTGAATCGTGGCCGTCGATCTGCGGTTTCGCCGGCGATAAACATGTCGGTAGCGTCTGTCGATGTCCTCATCATATATATATATAATCTATTGATCTATTCATCTGTCTATCTATATCCATCTATCCATTTGTCTGTTTTCTAATTGAACTATCAATCATTCCATCTCTTTCATGCTCCTCTACTCTAATAGAATCAACTTCCTCACATTGGCTTTTACTTTCATTTCTCTCCGCCTGCAATAATGCCACCCTTCATACACATTTGGGCATTTCTATTAGCATGATTTTACGGAGAACTCTTTGTATTTTGTGCGAGAAAATCACATAACATTATGAAGGTTGCTGTAGAAACATGAACCCAAATAGTGGCAAATTAAAAAGAAAGGGAAGAAATATACTAGCTTTTAGAAAAGGGTAATCAATCAACATCATTAAGCAGAATGGTTGGACCTACCTGTTATTTACTTTTTTGAGTCTTATTATGCTTGTTAAATTCAACCAAAAAGTAAAGATTTTTTTTAAAATATTGCTTATATAGTTATATTTAGTTGTAGTCTTGGACTAATTTTGAGTCTTTAATTGAACTTATTTATTTTTATTATTTCTATGTAAAAATTGAAGTTGTAAATGAATATTGAGAAATATAATATAATCGTCATAATGATATCTAATTACGTTAGGTCATCGTATCTATGGATCAAAATATAAAGATGTTGTGTCTGCATCACTTAGTGAATGATTTATGATGTAGTTCCTTGCCTTCAAATAAAAGTTGTTTAATGAAATTAAATTATTATAGATTGATTAGAAATGATCATGTTGTAGCAGAAGGGATTAGGTATGGACTGCCCTACATGAAATCTTTAAGATATTTTAACAATAATTAAGCTGCCGAGTATTTGGAAAGTCAAAGGAAAATATATATATGCAGGTCGAAATACTGTATTTTTCATGCATTAAATTGATGAATATACTTCATGATTAGGACTAAACATTTTCATTGTGAGAGAGGATGTTATGCACCACTTGAATGGTTTATATTTGCTAATACAACTTAACTGTAGCTCTTGGTTTAAGTAGTAAGTTTGATCATTTTTGAGCTTTTAACCTTGTGTATGTATTGGAATGAAAGAACGTTATTTTGAATGTGCAGTTGGTTTGTTTGGTTTAAATGATTCAATCTAATTTGATGCTTATCTTTGCATTGATTCTTGAAAAAATTACAAATCTTTTTAGCAGGGAATGATGTTGAAGATTTTAAATCAGTTGAAAAAAAAGTGAAAAAGGATATCAAGCTTCCAGATTCATTTGAGGTTAGTCAACCTTTGATTTCTTTCTTATGAAATAGCATAAAATGTTGGGTTCTCATTCTGCTTTGTTGCATATTTTTCCTTGTGCATCTACTGGTTGATCTTCATTATGATCATTAGCAGATTTCATTCATGGAAAGGAATGAATTCTATTTCAGAGGTGGGCAGGCTCTCAGGCTGAAGCATTGTATTTGCATGAAATGTAGCATTAATATAGGAGGTTTTAGTGAATGTTAAATTCTGATTTTTTGTTATCAAGTGTACTAGTAATTCTAATTTGTAATTAGTAAATTTCTTGGGCTAATGCTTAACAATGTTACCTGATGAAATGATCTGCTATCTGATTTTGGTTATTTCAGGTGGAATCCTTGATTACAACTATTTGTGATACAACCTCTATTGCAGAGTTTAAATTGAATGTAAGGCATGCTAGATACCATGCAAATTCACTTTACTCTTCCATATTTTACTATTTTTAAACATTGCTGTTTATTTTCATTTTCTTCGAAGAAAAACCAAGCTCAATGAGCACCCTTTTGAAAATACCAAGCTTTTAACTTGTTAAAGCTGTTGTAGGGAAGGGATACCCTCCCTACCAGCATCTATTTCAAGCGGCCATTTTCATGTTTCGTTGGTGTTTTGCTTAGCTTGCTGGCTTCAATCTCTACATCAAAAGAAACTTGGTTACGGAAAATGTTCTCAAGCTTGCTCCAAATCCTCCATTAAGTATCTCAGCTCCGGTTCCAGTGTCAAATGGTTCTGCTTCCAGTACCTCATTGACCATCTCTAAATCTAAACCTTCTTCAGATGGAATTCAGGGAATTCTTGATACAGCTACAGATGAAGGATTGGTGATTCTTCAATCACCAATGGTAGGACCAGTTCTCCTTCTCTGTTCAGCACGTTATGATTTCTCTGCTAACAGAATGTGCACTGCAGGTTGGATATTTTAGGAGAGCCCGTACAATAAAAGGAAAGCGAGCACCACCATCTTGTAAGGAGGTACTGTTATTTTGTGCATGCGGTTGATTTAATTACTGAAGCTTGCGTAATAGCGACTCGTTTGACCTGTAAATTTCTTTTAACTTTTTTTTATTGTAATCAAGAAGCTTGCCAAGATGCTTATTCGACTATTGGTTCTTTTTTCCTTTGATTTTATCGAGTTAATTTCATCCGATGTCTTTTAATATTTTGTTCTCCTGAAGACCAGATAGTAGGATGTTTGCACACCAATAAATATTTGAACAATAAATTGGATCTCGCATTTTTTTTTAATATCTTGGATAATAGTTGCTGGATAATAAGCTTTTTGTCTTAAAATGTTCTCAAAGACTGCATTCTTTTTAATATAGCATTATTAATTTACTAAGATGATTTTGATAGAAATAGTGCAAAAAGATTTATAGATGGAAAAGTTAAAACCTCATGCAACACGCAATTTGAATAAATGAAGACTGGATTCGTACAATCTTGGGATAAGTTAATGATATGATGCTTAAGAAGTTTAAGAATGAGATACATTTTTCTCACAAGAGGCAATAGCTATGGTTCTTTGAGTTAAAATGGACAGCTAAATTCTCAGGAGGGGCGAGAACCATTCTAACATTGCCATAGTTCTTTAGGAGAAGATTAAATTATTCAAATATTTTGAAGATGACATAGCTGTCAGTTTTGTTTAAATTTTTTTTTTTCCTTTTGACGTGTACTCATCGTATCAATGTCCACTACTTCATTTAGTAGTATTTTAATTTCTTTCTTATCAGTATATGTCTTATAATTTTGTCTTGTTGAATGTTTCAACTTGTCATATTTTAATTAAACTATGATGCACCGACACGCCTCTTAAAGAGGGTATGCAGTGTCGGACACGGACACGCGTCGGACACGGCATGGACACGTGTCCGACACGGCATTGGAGTGTCGGAATTTAAAACATTAAAATTTAAATCGGACACACGTGTCCGACACGCGTGTCCGGTTATTAAATGATAAAATCGTCAGTTCTATTTAGCCTTTTCGCGAACGAGAAGCCCTATTTTTCCGATCCACGAAAGAAATCTTCTAGGGCGGGGTACTGGTAGGTACATGCTCGGTATTGGTAGGTACATGCTCGGTACTGGTAGGTACATGCTCGGTACTGGTAGGTACATGCTCGGTACTGCTCGGTATTACTAGGTACATGCTCGGTATTGGTAGGTATATGCTCGATACTGGTAGGTATATGCTCGGTACTGCTAGGTACATGCTCGATACCACTCGATATTTTCACATACAAATAACTTACGAACTTTAAAAACCCCCGCAGGGGCGCTGCCCCTTGACCCCGCGACCTGACCGGGCAGGTTGAACCTCGCCAGGGGGCAGCGCCCCCTTGGACCCCTGGATTAGAGAGGATAATGCAAACCAGAGGCATTCCCAAAAGAATTCAGAACATTAGAGAGGATAATACAATTTTCAATACTAGCTTCCCCAAAAACTAAGACGTCATCTGCGTAAAGCAGGTGTGAAAGATTGAAACCATCACGACAAATACCTTTGAAACCACTCTCATCCAAAAGAGAAGAGAAGGCGTCCATCACAATGCAGAAAAGATAAGGGCTAAGGGGGCAACCTTGCCTTAGCCCTGCAGAAGAGGGGAAGTAACCTTCAAGGGAGCCATTCACAATAATAGAGAAGTTGACATCAGTAATGCAGGCTCTGATCCAATTGGAAACACAACTAGGAAAACCTTTAGTGTCAAGCCTATTAAGAAAAAAACCTCTAGAGACAGTATTAAAAGCTTTGCGAATATCAAGCTTAGCGCAAAAGAAGTTGTTATTACCCCTGGTAGAAGAGGAGTGCAAAATTTCTTTAGCAAGAAGAAATTGTCCGTGGAAACTCTGGATTTGACAAAACCAGCTTGGTTATGCTTGACAATGTAAGGCATAAGCGGCACAAGCCTATTAGTAATGACCTTAGTAATAATTTTGTAAGTAACATTGCAGAGAGCAATGGGTCTAAAATCGGAAATAGAAGAAGCATGATTATTTTTGGGAATTAGAGCAAGAGCCGTAGCCTTAACACCACAAGGAATGTACCCCTTCTCAAAAAAAGATCTGATGGCTTTGCAAATAAGAGGTTCTATAGTGGGAAGTAACCTTTGGTTGATAGATGGAGGATGGATTCAAAAATGTGGTGGTTGATTCATGGAGCTTCAACACCGCTTCTTCAAACAATAGCAATAAAACATCTTGGTCAAGTATCATCCTCTTCCTGTTGTGAGAGAAATTGGAGCACATACTCATTTATCCAATTAATGAAGAGGAATAAAATAACTCCACAACGTGCTGAAGATTTAGTTTATGTACATACAAATCTTCGTCTTCTATCAAGGAAAACCCCACTTTATATGACAGTTGATAACAAGATATGGGATGTTGCTGGAGATGGGTTCGAGTGCCTTGATGATATGGGATTATTGGAGGATGCAAATCTTTCTCTAGATGAACCAGAGTTGGAAGCAATGATATTCAATGATGATGATATTGAAGGCCAAAGACCAACATCTGAATCTAATTTTATCATTCCCTCTATTGAGTAGTTAGACCTTCATGTTGTATTAAATGATTTTTTGCTTATATTTTTGTGTTTGTACTTTGTACTAGACATTTTGTACTAAACATCTTTATGTTATAAGCTAAACAAGTTATCATGAATTGATTTATTATTGCTTGACATTTTTACTATAATGTCACCTTAATTTTTATATATTATATTAAAAAATTATTATGCCGTGTCCACGCCGCACCCGTGTCCTATATTTTTAAAAATTGCCGTGTCCTGTGTCCGTGTCGTGTCCGTGTCGCCGTGTCCATGTCGGTGCATCATAGTAATTAAACCACTTAGAATGTTGAAATAAAAGTATAAGCTTGTTGGCGGAATTTTTGCTATTCCCAATGTATTGAAATATTTTGTGATCGAGTACGACATACAAAATAACATATTATCCCAAGGGATAAAAATATTATTATTGAGCTAATTATTTATAATAATGTATACCATTAAATGATAAATTTATGTTAGAATGATGTGAATGATTTTTTATCCTAAAAAATAGTATCTAACTGGAAATGCTTAGTGATTTAGGTCACTTGGAATGGATGTTATTAATATTGACTGACTTTTAAGTAATTCTAATTTGATAAATGCAAGATCAAAATGACATTTTCCAAGTGTGTCGTTGTTGCTCCCTTAATGAATTTGAATGTTCTTTATTTGTATAAAGGTGACACATGATAGTGATCAAAATGAAATTTGTCTTGATTTTTATTTTTAAGAATAAAGGTGATACATGAGAGTGTGTGAATTATAGATTAATTAAATTAACTATAGGAGAGAGTAACCGAGCATAGGTTACAATGTGATACTAATATTTCTCAAAATCAATTTGAATTTATGCCGAGTAGATCTATTATGGAAGCTATACATTTATTGAGAGGTTTGATGAAGAAGCATAGAGAGTATAAGGATGATCTACATATTTTATTTATTGATTTAGATAAAACATATGATAAAGTTCAAAGTGCTCTGGAGAGTTTTAGAAAAAAAAGGAGTTAATAATCCTATATTTGAGCCATTAAGGATATGCATGCAGGAATTGCTACTTGTGTTCAAACACAAGATGATTTGACCAAGTATTTCCCTATTTCAATTGGATTACATCAAGAATCAACTTTAAGCCCACATCTTTTTGTAGCATGTACAATCTTTTTATAACTATGAATTCTATCATTTATATCATTGATACTATCTTTTGCGTCAAAATTTAAAGCCACCATCTATTGCTTTATATCTTAATACTCATCCTTTTCATTCTCAAGGTTTATTATGCTATAACTTAAAGCTCTTGTATCTACATTTTGTTTAACTTATCTCTTGGTATGCATCCTTGTTTTTTCAACTCTTTGTATTCTTTTTGTATCACCTTCTGTTAATCTATTATCATGAACAATTAAGTTATTTTTTTTGCATTAGAAATATTAGTACTCTTCTCTCTCATCAAAGCAAGCACTTACCTCAAAACAATGTTTGGTTGCTACAAAATTACCATCTATGCCTTTGTTTTCTGTTCCCTATCACTAAATTTTTTTCATTTCAGCACAGACTTGACAATTTATGCCTTTTCAGTTGTATTGTACATTAAAGAGAAAATAGTCAAAATGATCTCCAAATTATTTGTGGGGTGCCATTTTATTCCAAGGCCATTAAAGGTGTCCGACTTAGTCCTTTGACTCCACAAATGTGATTAAAAGCAGTCCCACAATTAAAATTATTGTTTAATTTGATAATTTGATAGAAATTTCACACAAAGTTCACAAATAAGATGGGGTATGAGGGTATTTTTGGAATGAGTTTTTATATATCTTGATATGTGCGACATAACCTCATTCCCCACCTCATTCATGAACTTTATGTGAAACTTTCGTCAATTTAAATAATAATTGGATCATGTTTGAAGAGTCTAGGGATTAAATTGGACATTTTAAATAGTTTAGGACTAAAATGACCTCTTATAAATAGTCCGAAGGCCATTTTGACTTTTTCTCTTCACTAAACAAGCCATACTTTTGACAGAAACAAGAGGTGAAGGAAGGGCAAGTTCTTTGCTATGTTGAACAGCTTGGTGGGGAGATCCCTATAGAAGTGCGTGTAATCAGCATCTTTCTGGATTTGTGATTTTTTTATATATTTTTTTGGTGGGACTTATATTGTTCGTCGTGAGAAGCTGACATTCTCACTCCTTTTATGTGATTGCACCCATTTTAGTCTGATGTTTCCGGTGAGGTGATAAAGATCTTGAGAAAAGATGGAGGCAAGGATGTTAAACTAAAATACACTTCAGTTTTTTAATCATAGGCACGCTTCTTTGCAAGCTTATTATGTTTGTTGGTTGCTCTGCAGAGCCTGTAGGATATGGTGATGCTCTTATTGCGATTCTCCCTTCCTTTCCTGGGATTAAGAAGCTTCAGTAATTTGGTACGTTCCATACACTTCTATTGTTTCATGCCCTCTAATTTAGTTAATTTCCATTATTGTTTATGTTTATTAGAACTATATGGCAGTTCAATTTTTGTTCTAGACTGGAGATTTATTTTCCTGCGTTTACTATCACTTCCAATCATGTCATATCTTTGGTTAAAAAAAGGGGTCATTGGAATTCTTCCTAATTGAACATTGGTGGTACCCAAAAATATTCATAGATGATGATCGAATTTCATTCTCATTGTTATTTAGCCTAATTCAATATTCCAACTCAAATACTGTGTACTGATTTAGATGTTGACCCCTACACTGAAATACACGCAAAAGAGCGAAAAGATGCGACTTAAATGACGGTCGGTGGGCGCGACGTGTCACTTCAATAGTTAAACGACGTCCAATCGTCGAACAGATTGCGTCGTTGCGATCGGAGCATCAAATTCGCCTAAGAGGGAGTTCCTCCCAATCGAATCAGACAAGAACGATCAAAATCGACGACTGATACCCGAAAATGACACGCGACGATGCTTAAATAACGTCTGATTGCAAAACAGACTTCGATGTTGCGCCCGAAATGTCTGAGTTACCTAAAAACGACTATAATTTCGTTGAACAAAATCCTCAAGGGAAGATCAACGTGGATTCCGAGGCGACGACTCACGGATTTTTAGGAAATTATGCGCAAATCAATAAAAAATATCTATTTAATAATAATAATAAAAATTAATATAATAAAAAAAAATCAAATGAAATCAAACCTGTAACTCGGTCTCCTGTCTCATGATCTTGCACGATCTCCGGTCATCCGGTGATATACCCTGCGCGACTTCCCCACACTGACGTCGTGCTACCCATGATCTTCGCAAAGATAGGCCTCATCGTTAAAGCAAGAAATGAAATGAGCTGTTTTGTTTTCTGCTTCTTGCACTCGCAATTCCATTCATAATCGTAAGCTCCTGACCACACCCGTCTCCCGTTGGAAGACCCCGATTGGACCCTTCTCTTGATCTCCTTCGCACGATTCGAATACATACTTTGTGCCGGAACCAAACCTCCCGCAAGCTCTTGATTCTTCCTCACGCCTGTAAGACAAACCACTTTTGAACTCCTCTTTCTTCTACCCCTTACGGCCAACCTATCTTTTATATTTAAGCCAGCCTACTTCTGACTAAGTAGACCATGAATCATGATGACTCGGGACGACGAAATCATGAGATCTTGATCGGATCTATCGTCATTCCCCCATCATCCGCTTTAAGTGCAGGTGGTGAATTTTAATTTTAAATATTAAATTTTTGAATACCTAAACATGCTGCCACTATACTCTAGGTAATATGTATATGTTTGATGACTAGCCTTAATCAAAAGTTTTCTCTCGTTATTGAGAGGGGTAATTAAATATAGGGGCTTGCGCCTATAGGAAACCTAAACTCATATCATAAAGTCCTCGCAAAATGAGGGCGAAATATCTGGGTAATGTCTTATTCTAAACTCGATCTGCCTTCTGAAAATTTGCCTCAGAACTTTCGTTAAAACTCTCCTTGATGACTCAAAATGAAATGAAAGAAAGGGACCGCAAACAGGCCGAGGTGCAAATTTTCGGAGCTCACATATTTCTAACGACTCCACTGGGGATGATTTCTCTTTTCATATTTGAATATATCGTCTAAGTGCTATAGTAGCAGCAAATTAATATATTTTGATGAAGAATGCTTTTTTACATGGTTATTATTTAGAGATATATAGGCATATTCCACTTGGTTTTGGTTCAAATATAGAACAAAATGCGTGTAAACAAAAAAAAAAAAAAAATCATATGAATTGAAGCAATCTCCAAGGTCTTGGCTCGGAAGTTTCACTAAGATAATGCTCGACATTTGATACAAGCAAAGTCAAGGTGATCACACGTTATTCATGAAACAAAAAACTTTAGTGGTAGTCTTCACTCTACTAGTTTATATCAACAACATCATCATAGCAAGTAGTGATTTGGAAGGTAGGGAGAATTTAAAGAAGTTGCTAATCCAAGATTTTGAGGTGAAAAGAATTAAGCTAAAGTATTTCATTAGCATGGAAGTTGCACACTCTCAACATAGGATTTTTATATCATAACAAAAATACATTACAAATCAGTTGAAACTAACCTGCAAGTTGGGATGCAAGCTTGTCAATAACCCATGAAATTTAATCACAAACCTGAAAATGTTCCAAAATAAATAGCCATAGGAAAAAAAAAAAAAAACTCCTATCATAGACCCTATGGGAAGACTCTCTTTATCATATACTGGCCTTCATATCTTATAGCTATAGATTGCAACTCTGGTTTCCCTTTATTAATATAGATATAATGTATAGAGTACAACTGAACATCACTTATTTTGGCTATATGCAAAACTCAAAATCTGCTTCAAAACACAGTCACAGATAAATCATTCTGCTTCCAAACGAGGCCTTGATGTTCTCTAATTTCTGACAAATTATTTCTCTAACACAGCTAGCTCCAACGCCCAGCTCTAATCATGCATTTCTTGCACTTCGGCCCCCTCTCCACTTTCTCAAAAAGGTACGTAATTAACCTATGGAAACTTTTTATTATACCTATTTTAGTGGAACTTTATTCAAAAAGGATGTGTTCTGAAGCCTTAAGCAGAATTGACATCTTTCTGAACATTTGCTTTAATGTATTTCTGGGCATTATATTGTTTACTATATGGAAGAAGCTAACATGGAATCTGTCCTTAAGTCTTGTACTTTATGGGTATCTATAGTTCAAGTACCAATTAACTTCTCCGTAGTCTTGAAATTTGTGCTATTTTTTTTTCTAGATTGTTAGAGAATCTGATTGGTTTTTTGTTGACCTGCTGTACAAAAAAAAAGGAGACAAAATCCCCTACCTACTCCCAGCAGCCCCACGTCGCTACTACCCGAAATCCTGCCGCAAATCCTGCTCAAATCCCGTCTCCCATACCTCTGCAAGCGGCGCCGAACTCATGTCGCATCGCCCACGACCTCGCACGATACACCTCGCGACGTTAAATACCCACGAGAAGGAGGCCTTCGGCCTCTCCTCTGCTGAATCTCTTACACGCACAAGCTCCCTTCCTACCCCGACTCCTTCGTTGTTGTGCGGCTTCGTTCATTCGACGACTTCCCTTTCCTCAAGGATCGGAAGTTACTGCATTTCGATCGGAAGCAACGGGCGGGAGCTCGTTCGTCGCACGTCGAAGCCACGACCGATGTCGTTTCAACCCACGACGCGGTAGCTCGCACGACTGGGCGTCGTTAAAAAGAGGCGAGAACGAGGCCTTCGGCCTCTGCACGCTATCCCGAACTCCCGCTTCCCTTCCTCCTTCCGATCCTCCTAGTCCCGAGAGAGAGAGAGAGAGGGAAGAGCTTCTTACGAAGAAGCTTCGTTGCTGTCCGACTTTGCTCCTAGTCCGACTTTCCCTTCCTCCTGAATCGGAAGTTACGACATTTTTGATCAGACGCAAGCAACAGGAGCCCGCTCGGCTGTGAAGATAACTTTCTCCCGTTCGATCGCTTCTCCGACTCCTTTTGGCTGTTCGACTTCGCTCCTTAGACGACTTTCCCTTCCCTGTAGGATCGGAAGTTAACATTTTGATCGGACGCAAGCACAGGAGCTCACAGGTAGTGAAGGTAACCTTCTACCTTTCGGGTGCTTCTTCGGTCTAATCCCGTAAATCCGTCTAAATAAAAAAAAAGGAGGTTTTCTTATATTAATTTCGATTAATTGTAATTAATTTTAATTAATTAAATTAATTATATTTTAATTATAATTAAATTATGATTAATTAAAAACAATTTCTAATTAATTATGATTAATTAAAATTAATCATAATTAGTTATATTATTTTTAATTAATTATTGTTAATTATAATTAATTTTAATTAATTAAATTTAATTATTATTCATTATAATTAATTAAGATTAATAAAAAAAAAAGAGAGACAGAAGAAAGAAGATGCTCTCCCGCCTCGAGCCGACATCCACCGCCGGTCTACTGGCCCGCCAGCCCCGAAGGTATAACCCCTAAACTCAGGCTTCCGTCCTCGGTG